TTTAAACATATTCAACTTCCCGGAAAATAAGTTTCTTCAAGCGTTAATTCCGGTGAATATGTTGTTGTTCACTCCGAAAATGCCAATGAACAAAAGGAAAACAAGCTGTTTGCCGTGCGTTAACCGAGCGGTTAATTCCGGAAAATAGATTGTTTATCAGCATTTACCGTGAGTTAACCGAGCGGCTAATTCTGGAAAATAAGTGGTTTACCAGTATTTACCGCGAGAGAAGACTACCGAATAATAAAACGAATACTGGGATTCACCGGCGCGAAAACGTCGATTTTCCGTATGGAAAACACGGGTAAACTTTAATAAAGTGCCGCGTTTTCCGTGAATTCAATCTTTGTTTATCGTGAGGTGAACGCCAGTTTTTGCGCTGTGTGAGTTTCTGCAGGGCATTAATTGCAGACAAAAAGTCCGTATGCGTTATCTTGGTTGCTATGAATAACAAAGCCTATTTTACTACATACAAAAAAAATTTTCCCTTGATTTACGGTCTGTTCCAAGTTCATATTTCACTTTCAGAGTCAGTTTGTGGTTAACATAGGGTGTGCCGAAGCTTAACATCGAATAGAAACAGAATGGTGTTTATAAGGTAGGAATTTTTTAGCGACATAATCGTTCCGAAAACTATATTAACTCTTGCCACACGTTTATATTTAATCTTGCCAATCGTAACGGTTTTTACCAGTCTTGCTAATGTGTGATACCAGAAAAAGATGGGCTGGGAAAGGGGAATCCCAGCGGTTAACACTAGATCAAACACTCTTGCTAGAAAAGGGCTAAATTACTTGAGCTGAGGCTGTTGGAACTATACTCCATTTAGAAAGGAATTACCTTTTTACCTCCGTTCGTTGTCAAAATGTGAGATATTTACAAAAAATTATGCCTGTGCACTTTGTTGATTATTTATTATCTCACATTCAACTTGCGCTCGTAAAATAATTGTGAACTAGCACTTGCATAATTTTGGTGCCGTTAATGAACACTCCAAAAGGTACCCCCACGATCTGTGTAAGAAGTCCAAGAACGAATATATAGGCTAAAACAAGTTTTTTCTAAACCTTGATTTGTATTAGCTGGAATGGTTCGAGTCATGAAATGTTGTTGCATCGTAATCAGTTTTTAAGCCAAGTAAATATTAAAGGGCTATGAGACAATATAGGCTTGGGGGAGGGAAAGTTGAGGTTATTTATTTTTGGATGAGAAAGAAGAACCTCCTCAACTATACCACGCTTCCAACGTGGCTGTTTAGCTCAGTTGATAGTAGCGCTGGGAGGCACGAGTTCGAATCCCGTATAAGCCTAAAGTATATCCAGGCGTCAGATAATGGACAAATATCAGAGCAATTCTGTCAAGCAGAATAAAATATATTCTTCGATTTTCAATGTAATCATGATAAAGGACTGATAATTCCTATAATAGCTTTTCTATCAGGTTGTTAGAGTCTGTGTATGGAGGACATATCCCGGATTTAGGTTAAACATTCCGGACAACGTAAATTTGAATTTTTTCCATAATTTTCCGTAAAATGTTTTGGACACCCAACATATTTCGAGAGCAAGTCAATGTTTTCGAGTGGTTTGCAAGGCACTCAAGAAGCTAGCGTTACTCTCAGCTATCGCCTTGCGCGACTCCTAGGCTTCTCAGTATCGTGCTTAGCAACCTCCCACGTGCATACAAAACTCAATAATCGTTTCCAAAACTATATTGAATCTTGCCATACGTTTATATTCAATCTTGCCAATCGTACCGGCTTTTACTAGTCTTCTTGTCCTCTGATACCAGAGCAAGATGTTGTGAACCAATTTTAATTCCCTGGGGTAGCTTTTTACTCGCCCTACAGGTTTATTTCTTAAAGCTTTGTAGTGTCGTCAATGTTCTGTGAGTCAAAAAGATACTAAAGGGCTGTGATAGGGGTAAACAGGTGAGCAGGTGTCTGGGTTTTGTTTATATGTGTACTGGGAAAGGGGAATTCCAGCGGTTAGCACTAGGTCAAACACTCTTACTAGAAAAGGGCTAAAGAACTTGAGCTGAAGCTAATGGAACTAGCTATACTCCATTCGGAAAGAAAGTAGCTTTTTACTTTCGTTCGTTGTCAAAATGTGAGATTTTAATAAACAACTCGGGGTTATGCACTTTTTAGGTTATTTATCATCTCATATTCGACTTGCTCTCGTACAATAATTGTTAACTAGCACTTGGATAATTTTTGGTGCTGTCATAGAACACCCCAAAAGGTACCCCCTTTATCTGTGTGAAAAATCAATAACGAAACAAGAGGCTAGAGTCCAAACTCCGCAGAAGTATGTATTAGTCAAATATCAGTTTTT